GACAAAGTCAGAGAGTTATATAATAGTGGCCTTTCCCAGCAACATTCAGGCTGAAAAAAAAATCAAGGAAAGGGCATTCATAGACAAATAGATCAAAAAGGTAACAGCAATTATGGAAGGAAGAGACACTCTAGCTGTGGGGACCTGCAAAGTCTGTGCAAAGTTTGTCTTTGTATCTGAGTGCAACACGGTGTACACATGCAACGAGTGTAAACTGGTGGCACTGCTAGAAGAAAAAGTGAGAACTGGAGCAACAAGTAGCCACACTTTAAGGGTATAAGGTAGGATGAAGTATACATTGACAGAACTCTTGAGCAACAGCGGCAGTCAATGGAGGCACTGGAGAACACTGAAAGAGCAAGAAGGGAAGGCAGAGGAGCAAAAGAAGGAGACGACTATCTTCACTGGTGGAACTGCGCAATTGCTTTCAGGTTCTTGGTGAAGAGTCTGGCAGACAGGAAGCAGACGAAGAGTCCATGAAAGGGACTGAAATTCATATTGACAGAACTCTTGAGCAACAGCGGCAGTCAATGGAGGCACTGGAGAACACTGAAAGAGCAAGAAGGGAAGGCAGAGGAGCAAAAGAAGGAGACGACTATCTTCACTGGTGGAACTGCGCAATTGCTTTCAGGTTCTTGGTGAAGAGTCTGGCAGACAGGAAGCAGACGAAGAGTCCATGAAAGGGACTGAAATTCATTCTAAACACAGGCACTGAACCCACACCCTACAAAAAGAGGAAGAGAAGAGTAGCCGTAATAGGAGACTCCCTACTGTGTGGGATGGAAACTGAAGTATGCCAGGAAGACCCATGGATGCAACGGGATCTTACCCTCCTGTCTTACTTGGACCCACCAGGAGTTTATCCTCCTGTCTCCCTGGAGCACAGATTAGGAATGTGACAGAAGAATTGACATCACCACAAAACCCAAGGATACATATCCATTCCTTCTCTTTCATGTAGGAACAAAGGACACAGTCAAGAGCAACTTTGATCCTATCAGACTTTGAAGCTCCGGGAAGGACACTTGAGGACTTTGGGGCCCAGATAGTTTTTTCATCCATCCTACCAAAAGAGGAATCAAAAGGGAAAGGGAAATATTTGGGGTGAATGACTGGCTATGAAGATGATGTTGAATTGAGGGTTTTGGCTTTTGGGTCAGTGGGCTAAGCTTCCTGGAAGATGGACTGCTAGCAAGAGACGGCTTGCACCTCACAAGGACCAGGAAGAATGTGTTTGGCCACAGCTTGAAGAACTTCATCAGGAGGGCATTAAACTGAACTGGAAGGGAGAAGGAGACACAATTACCCTGGTATCTGTTGGAAAGAAAATTCTGCCAAGTATGGTCATTCCAAGGAATTCCTGGCTTGTGTGCCTGATAATTTTCTCCTACACAAAGTAGAGAAACTAGAGTTAGTTATTGCTTCTAACTAATAGGGATGACTTGGTGTAGGAAATGGTGGGAAGGGAATTCTGGGCGAGTGTGACCATGTTCTACTAGAATTCTTGTTTTCAAAGGAAACCAAAGCAGAGTGTAGCCACAAACCTACATTGGATTTTTAAAAAGCCAATTTAAACAAACCCAGAACATGGATATGTAAGGTCCCATGATAGGAGATCCTAACAAGAAAAGGAGTCGAAGAAGGTGGGAGTTTAAAAAAAATTCTAAAGGCACAGCTGCAAACAATTCCAACAAGAAAAGAAGGTGGGAGGCAGAAAAGAAAAGGATGCACGGCTTCATAAAAAGCTCAGAAAGGACCTAAAACCAAAAAAGAACACATATAGAAAGTGAAATGAAGGCCAAGCCACAAAGGATGAGTACAGACAAGTAGCAAGGAATTGCAGGGATGGCATTAGGAGGGCAAAAGCTGAGAATGAGCTGAGGTTAGCTAGAGACACTAAAAGCAACAAAAAAAGCATTCTTCAGGTATGTATCTAGAAAAAGACAAGGAAGCAAAACACTGGCACAGATACTCAATGGAAACTGAAAAATGATAACAGAAGACAAAGAAAAGAAATGTTCCTATTTTAGCTCAGCCTTTTCCCATAGGCCAGACTATGAACCTCCAGACAAATATGAGGTGCAGGTGTGGGGAAAAGATTGCAGCTGGAGATTGATAAACAAATAGTTAAGGAACACTTTAGTATCTTGAACAAGTTCAAATCTCCAGGGCCGGATGAACTGCATCCAAGAGGATTGAAGGATCTGGTTGAAGAATTTTCAGAGCCTCTGTCCGTTATTTCTTGAAATCATGGGAAATGGATGAGGTGGCAGAATGAGGTGCAGGTGTGGGGAAAAGATTGCAGCTGGAGATTGATAAACAAATAGTTAAGGAACACTTTAGTATCTTGAACAAGTTCAAATCTCCAGGGCCGGATGAACTGCATCCAAGAGGATTGAAGGATCTGGTTGAAGAATTTTCAGAGCCTCTGTCCGTTATTTCTTGAAATCATGGGAAATGGATGAGGTGGCAGAGGATTGGAGGAGGGCTAATGTTGCCCCTATCTTCAAAAAGGGCAAAAAAGAGGAACCTGGGAACTACAGGCCACTCAGCCTGAAGTCAATTCCAGGGAAAATTCTGGAACAGATCATTTAGCAGTCACTATGCAAGCACTTAGAAAACAATGCAGTAATAACTAGAAGCCAACACAGATCTGTCAAGAACAAACTCTGCCATACTAATCTGATCTCATTTGGCACTGGTTAGGTCTCATCTTCAGCCTGTGTCCAGTTCTGGACACCACACTTTCAGAAGGAAAACAACAAATTGGAACAAGTTCAGAGGAGGGCAACAAGCATTATCAGGGGGCTGAAAACTAAGCCTTATGGAAAAAGACTGAGAGAACTGGGCATCTTTAGCAAGAAAAGAAGACTGAGAACAGACATGATAAAACTTTTCAGATACCTGAAAGGCTGTCATGCACAGGAGGGGCAGGATCTGTTCTTAGTCATCCCTGAGTGGAGGACACAAGTTACAGGAGCCAGATTTCATTTGGATATCAGGAAAGTCTTCTTAACTGTTAGAGAGCAATGGAACCAATTACCCGGAGAGGTGGTGAGTGCTCCAACACCGGAGGCGTTCAAGAGAAAATTGGAAAGTCACCTGGCAGATCTCCTTTGATTTGTATTCCTGCACTGAGCAGGGGGTTGGACTCAGTGGCCTTATAGGCCCCTTCCAACTTCATGATTCCATGATTTTACTGGCACACCATCTAGCCCACTGCTCGACAGTCTGCCTTCCTAAGCTAGCTGAGTTGGTCTCTGGAGTTGCCAAGAGTCTCCTTGGTATGTTGGGTTGGGGGACTTCCCAAGGCAGCATTGTCTGGAGTGGTTCAGAACCTCATGTCCTCCATGGATCTGTCCCAAATAGTAAACTGGCCCCACCTATGCTGCAAAGAACACTTTAGACCAGATATTCTGTATTGGGGGAGAAGCTGACAATTTGGGTGTGAAGGAACTCTCTGTAGTTCTGTTGTCATGGATAGATCACCATCTAGTAGGACTTAGATTCACTGGAACTCAGAACCTTTGCAAGGGTTGGGAAATGAATTAAGATGGTCCACTCCAGGAGGCTGATGGATCCAAATGACAACTCTTGGGGAGTTTCCTGTCACCTTGGAAGGCGATTTCAGCTGAAACTCTGCCTGACCTCTGGAATGGGGGAATGGCCAGGGCCACTGACACAACTGCTCCCAAACATCCCCTCCCACAAAGTAGAATCAAACTGGCTCCCTGGTTTACTGGGGAGCAGGATGAAGACTAGAGTGAGGAAGAGGGAAAATTCAAAACTAATTCAACCCAACATGGGCTAGGGCCCACTGGAAGGTCTACTCTGTGGTAGTGGCAGGCAAACAAGTTATTTTTCCCTGCCATCATTGCATCTGCCCAGAGTCATCCACCAGGAGACTCTGGGGACCTCAATTTCTTTGAGACAAGAAATCCCATCAGCTCCACCCAGCGTGGCCATGGTCTATGGGAATTGTAGCCCAAAACACTGGGGTGGGGGGGGAGGGAGACATTGCCTAACTGGTGGAAGGGTGTGGCCTTTCCTCTTTCGAAAACAGGACAGAGACATAAATTTGTTGGTGATGGAACAGGTCAAAAGGGAAGCTAGTGAGCAAGGTGTGGGAATATCACAAGGATTGTGGTTCTTGACATCCTCCTGTGCCTAAGGCAAAAGGATGAGTTCTCACACACACACACACACACACACACACAGAGACAGATGCTTGTGTGAGAGAGATGCTACTGATACAAGACACCCCTTTTAAACAAGGTGACGTCCTTCTGCTCCTTTTTAAGTTAAAAAAGAGAAATGCTTCACTTCCGGTTTTGTGTTTTTTTTGCTTCCTTAGAGGAAGCTCTGTGTGGCCCAAGTGGGTCCTGAGGATGGAGTCTCTGCCCCCTGTTAACCCCTACTTTAGAATAATTCCTATCCTTGTTCAGTGCCCTTTTGTGCAGTTTGGTGACAAACAACCTCCAGACCTCGCTTGGGTCCCTTGCCTAGGGGACAGTGGGAGTCGTCCGACAGCCCTCCTCTCAAATTCTGCCCCAGAGATCTAGGCTTGTCCTTCTGTTCCTTCTCCTTCTAACCTGACTCCAGTCTGGCTTCTCTTGTGCTTTCCTGCTTCTTGAGGGGCGTTCTGATTCTCTTGTGGATCCAGGCACAGCTTGCTTCTCTTCACTGCCTAGATGTTCACGGACCAGGACAAAGAGTGGGAAATAAGGGACTGTGACATTTTTACCCTGCTTTTCCTCCAGTGAGTTCAAGGCGACACACAGGGTTGTTGTCTTCATCACTTCATCCTCACAATCAAGCTGAGACAGTATTCTGGGGGCCAAGATCACTCAGGTATATTCATGACAGAGCGGGGATTTGAACCCATGGCTGCCAAGTCCTAGCCCAGTGCCCTAACTGCTACTCCACATTTGCACAGCTGAGGAGGTGCAGAATATTACATGCAAGTAACATAGTTTTTATTTTAAAAAAGGGACAACAGCAACAAATCAAATATTTTATATCATTATCCAGATGGCTTCATTAGCAATCTGTTGTTTTTCTTGTTGTTTAAATAGTATACATTATTTCCCCAAAACTGTACAAGTTCTTGGGTGGGGGGAGCTGCTGTTCAGCTGCTTACTGAAAAGGTCTCCATTGCTTCTTTATTTAAAATGTGAATGTGGCTGAATATCAAGGCTGGGGGCAGGCAAAAGGAGCCTCCATTTCTTTTCCGATTCCAGGCACGAGAGAGAAAAGAGAGATTGCAAGATGCCAACATAGAATCGTCTTGCCCTTTCAGCTCGTCCGGTGTGTCCTGTTCCACAGGGGATTTAAGGGTGAGATCCTGCTGGGTTTCAAGGGGCTGACATCCTCTTGACTGGAGCTCAGTTCTTACCTGGTGGAGTAAAAAAAAAAAAAGACACCAGACTGTTATACAAATGCTCAGCCCTTCTGGAGGCAACTTTCAATGCACAAAGTGACTCTGCTATCAGGAAATGCCTGTACGAAGAAGACACTGCTATGATACGCTGTACAAACATTGCCAAAAAAGACAAGAGGAGACAAAGAGAGACCAATTCTACTGCCAAGAAACAGGTACGAAAAACTTTGCTCAGACCAGGGGAGCCAAAGGTAAACTAAGCTGGGGTCAAAGTCAGCCTCTCCGACCAACCGTTCATCCCAGATAGACTGCAGCCGGGGGGGAGGAGGCAAGCACAAGGAAGAAACGGAAGTCTGCCTGGGTGATGCATCGTGCTGAAAATTGCGCCCTGCATTAAAAATTCACCAGCCAGTGAATTTCCAAGGGATTTGTAGTAATTAGATGACAAAATGCTGGCAAATCTCAAGCGTGCCGAAGATGTTACTCAGGGGTCAAAGACTCAACACTTCTGGCTGGGTAATTTGTAAGTGTCAATCATGCTCAGCCATCAGAGGGAAGGCAAAATTGTAGCGGCTGAATTCTAACTAAGTCCAATGCTCTCGGCCTTTAGCCGTCCTGCTCTCCACCGCACCCACCCCATCCACAAACTCCTCTTTCTGCATGCAAATGCAGTTACTTCTTCTCTCAGACATACTTAGTTACACTGGCACAGTCTGAAGGTGCTGGATATGTGCACAAGTCTTCTCCCTGTATAAACCATACATGTATAAATATACATGGATGCTAGCCTGCATCTAACCACATCAATGCGTGAGTGCAAAAGTGGCCATGCGAAGGGCTGAAATGTCTCAGAGTCAGCACAAGTGCCAATATCCAATAGTTTAACTGAGCAAGTGGCTGCACCGCTGGTTGTAGAAGCTACTGCACAAGGGGGCTGTGCAAATGGTGGCGCAGCCAGTTGGAGCAGCAGGTTGTGCGGGTGGCAGCACGACTGGTTGCACAGCCATGTCATCCAGCATAGCTGCATTAGCGCTTCGGCTGGTCTCTTGCCTTCATTCCTGCATTTGAAAAAGAGATCTGGGAGCTGAAGCTACAAAGGACACAGGGCAGGATAAAAGGCAAAGCAAGGCGTGCTGCTTACATACTGCTCCATATCACTTAAAGCAGTGGTCCCCAACCTTGGGCCTCCAGATGTTCTTGGACTACAACTCCCAGAAGTCTTCACCACCACCTCTGCTGGCCAGGATTTCTGGGAGTTGAAGTCCAAGAACATCTGGAGACCCAAGGTTGGGGACCACTGACTTAAAGCATTCTCTCGGTGATTGACAAGCTGGGTACTCAATTTACCGAACTTGGAAGGCTAGAAGGCTGAGTGAACCTTGAGCTGGGTCCTGGGATTGAACCCAGGTTGTGAGCAGAGTTTTGAGTGCAGTATTGCAGTTTATCACTGCACCATGAGACAAATAGACAGCAGGAAAGAGTTTCCTCACCTAAAAGGCATAGAGAAGTGGATAATAATGTTTAGGAAATCAGAGGACTAAGGCATCAGGACAAGAGAAATGTTTGAGAAAACTAGAGAGGATACACTGCTGTTCAGCAAAACAGGTTTGTAAACCCAGACTCCCAGAGACGGGGAGAGACACACATATGAACTTGTTCATATGAGACATGATTAAATGTATCGACATTCCTGAGCACAAGCCGGCCCAATTCACATGTCGCAACAAGCCAGGGGAACTGCAGGAAGCCTGGCTTATCATGCGTGAGCAGCTTGCTGGAGCACATTGTCCAAATGCTTCCCATTCGCAGCAGGAACTGCTAAATACTGGGCTGAAGCTACACTTGGTGTTCTGGCTTGCTTTTCTTCAGAGAAGCTGGACGGCGGGGGCGGAGGAATCCATGCACGGCTTTCGGAACTCAGAGTCCAGGAACACGTCTGAGTACCTGAACAAAAGGGAGTCCCTTCAACACTAGAATCCATTCTGAGCTATCCTGAGTTTTCTTCATTTCACTGTTAGAATTGGCGTTGCTAATACTGTCATAACCTTGGCAGTCAGAAGTCCCTGCCGATCTATAGCACATTACTCGGAGACCTATCGGTAGATCCAGATCTGTTTTTGGTTCCTATCCTGGCTCTAATCAACAGCTGTTCACGACAACAGCTCCATGTTAAGGGAAAATATACCACCGAAAAGGAAATTTATGTCAGGGAAGACAGCTGGTGGAAATCTGGGACAGATAACAGGGTGGCTTCTTCACACAGTGCACATACAGGATAAGGTAAACGTTTGCCTAAAATAAGATGGCAAATTTAAGATAAAATTTCAAGATACCAGCTAAAGTGTCTGAGCTTACACTCTCTCTGTCTCTCTCTTTGTCTCTCTCTCCAAGATACCAGCTAAAGTGACTGAGCTTACACTCTCTCTGTCTCTCTCTCTCTCTCTCTCTCTCTGCCTGCACATGCGTGCATGTGCTTGCAAATGTTTACAAGGGAGAGTCAAAGTTGTTTTTATTTTATTATTTTACTAGCCTAGAAGGGACTCCATGTGAAAGTTAAAACCAGTTAAGTCTGGTCTTAGGCAGTGACAGATTTTACCTCCTTGGGATCCATGATCACTACAGAAGGTGAAAGCAGCCACAAAATTAAAAGACTTTGGCTTCTTGGGAAGAAAGCGATGATAAACCTAGACAGCATCTTAAAAAGCAGAGACATCACCTTGCCGACAAAGGTCTGCATAGTCAAAGCGATGGTTTTTCCAGTAGCGAAGTATGGAAGTGAGAGCAGGACTATAAAGAAGACTGACTGGCGAAGAATTGATGCTTTTGAACTGTGGGGCTGGAGGAGGCTCTTCAGAGTCCCCTGGACTGCAAGGAGAACAAACCTATCCATTCTGAAGGAAATCAATCCTGAGTGCTCACTGGAAGGACAGATCCTGAAGCTGAGGCTCCAATACTTTGGCCATGTCATGAGAAGAGAAGACTCCCTGGAAAAGACCTTGATGTTGGAAAAGTGTGACGGCCAGAAGAGAAGGGGGACGACAGAGGACAAGATGGTTGGACAGTGCCACTGAAGCGACCAACATGAATTTGACCCAACTCCGGGAGGCAGTGGACGACAGGAGGGCCTGGCGGGCTCTGGTCCATGGGGCCATGAAGAGTCAGGCATGACTAAATGACTAAACAACAAGAAGAAGTCCGGTCTGAGAGTCTGCTGTGTCTGGTTTTAACCATGACTTTAGGCTCAAGCCATCCCAGCCACACCTCTCCACTTCCCCTGGCCTTCTTAAGCACAAGTCTCTGTGCCGTTCACATTGGCTTACTAAAGGCATTATCACAATACACGTCATAGCAAATCAGGCAAAAGGAACGCCAATTTATTTGCTGATACTACTGCACAAATATTTCTTGCTTCCCACTTGCAGCAGGCTGGCCACTTGGTCAAAGGAATGAAATACAGGACCGGGCCAGGTTTTGGTCTAATCCAGCTCCAGGGTTCTTGTCACCCTCTTTAAAAAATCGGGCAGCAAGTTTCAAGCACTGTTTTTCTGCCCTTGCCTCATTTCATTTTAAGAGAACAGTGGTAGAAAAATTTATGTTTGATGTGAGGCACTCCCCCAGGGTCAGGCCTTGCGATGCATGGAACAGAAGGCCTTATGCTTTGCATCTCAAAGGCACCCGTTTCTTCCTCTTTGGTGGTATCTCCAGTTGGAAAGGCGTCAGGCAACGGGAAAGCTCTCCTCTACCAGAGAACGTGGAGAAGCTTCCGCTGATCTGACAAGCAGGCGAAAGCAATGGAAAAGAAATTTATTGGGTTTGCATTAACCTACAAAAATGCCCATTTTGTACCTCCTGAGAAGGACAAGGGGAGCATGCTCCCCGTGGAAATTTGCATGCACCCAAGGCTTGTGCTATGTGTCCTGACAAAGAGGAAATGTGCACAAACCAAGAATTCCTTTGAGAAGTACCGTATTTTTCCATGTATAGGACCCCCATGTATAAGACCCCCCTTTTCTAATCCAAAATTAAGAAATTGAGGTGGGGATTAGCAAGTGTAGGGGGCAAGGGATCAAAGCACTGCAGGATCGCTTTGATCCCTGCTTTCCCCTCCGCTTGTTTTTGTTCTCTCCTCAGCTTACTTCCGTATATAAGATGACCCTCAATTTTTAGTCTAAAGATTTTAGACAAAAGTATAGTCTTATACATGGAAAAAATACGGTACTTGCTGTCGTTCCCCACAGAGTGGCTGCTGTACTCTGCCTCTTGGCAGGGCCGGCTCTGAACTAGAGCTTTTGTAGACTTTCTGCACTCAGCAGAGCAGGTAGAGAAAGAGAGGCTAGGAATAAGTTGAACAGGCCCTTGGCTGCCAACAGGAAGCCCCAGCGAAGGCTGCTAAGCTGTCAGCCTGCCAGTCCTGCTCTCTCCTCTGTCTGCTAAGAGAGATGCCTATTATTTTGCTGGCACCCCAGGCCTGGTTTGCATATTTCACTGATTCAGGTCACATCGCGTACACACGCATGCCGTAGCCAACGTCTGTTGATATCCTCGGTCTCTCGCCCTGCTTCAGTCTGAGGTGAAAGCCTGCCTTATTAGCCAATTTGGATACCCATTTACTGTGAATTACTCAGCCTGATTATTATTCATGAATGGATAAATCTGAAATCTCAGCTCCCTGCTATGCGATTCCTCTCTCTCTCTCTCTCTCTCTCTCTCGCCTCTCCTCCCCCCCTGCCCCAATCCCAAAATGAATATATTTAGAGGAAAAGCAGGAGAGGCAGGCAGCGCCGCCTCTTAGCCAATATACAGTCACACTGTCATGGGGGAAGGAATCGCGTCTTCACAGTCCTGGCGGGCTAATGTTGGCCCTCAAACACAAGGACAGACGTCCACCCGTCGGGTTGTGACCTGCCAAGAAAGAGAATCCAGGTAGGCCTAACTTGGTGGAAAGGAGCCAGGCGTGCCGGGCGTGAGTGCCAAGTTTGGAGCGGAGGAGACGCTCTTCTCCACCCCTGGTCCTT